CCATAATATTTAGTAGACCCACAGAGCCAGTGGACTGATAAGTCTTGATATGTCTCTCACTTTGCAGACCCTTCTGGAGAGTGCAACCCAGACTTACGTCTCCGTGGACATCAGAAGGAAGGCTATGGACTTTCTTGGAACCCAAATCTCAGTGGGCACTTACTTAGTGCTTCAGATGATCATGTGTGTATCTTTCCCATGTTAAAGCAAATCTGGGCTGGTTACCAGTTGGTTTCTTTTTTGGGGCATGTGGGGAGGTGAGAATCTTCTTTTATGTAATAGTTAATTTTATATTTAAGACCATCTGCCTGTGGGACATCAGTGCTGTTCCAAAGGAAGGGAAAGTGGTGGACGCAAAGACCATCTTTACAGGGCATACAGCAGTAGTTGAAGATGTTTCCTGGCACTTGCTCCATGAGTCTTTGTTTGGATCAGTTGCTGATGATCAGAAACTTATGATGTGAGTAGATTCCGTTACTCATTTATTCCTATGTTTGAAGTTTTATATTTAGTTAACTACATTTCAAGTTTTATCCTGTTTTTTAACTTTTTTTTCTTTTTTAATCTAAAGTTGGGATACTCGTTCAAACAATACTTCCAAACCAAGCCATTCAGTTGATGCTCACACTGCTGAAGTGAACTGCCTCTCTTTCAATCCTTATAGTGAGTTCATTCTTGCCACAGGATCAGCTGACAAGGTCAGTTTGGTTTACTTAAATAGAAATGTAGGATAGATTTCTCTAGCTTGTTTTGAATTGCTGAAATATTTTAGTTAGGGGTTTTCTTTTTTCATAAAAAAATTCATGGCTTGCTCTTGCTTTCCTTTACTTTATGCAGACCGTTGCCTTGTGGGATCTACGAAATCTGAAGCTTAAGTTGCATTCCTTTGAATCACATAAGGATGAAATATTCCAGGTAGGAGAAACTAATGCTATTAATTTTTTGAGAAACCCTGTATGTGTGAGTGGGTAGACTTGTGCTAATCATTGCCTAAAATAGAAGGCTTTTGTATGCCCATGCTGACTTCTACGAAGTTAGGCTTGTTTTTTCTTTGTTTGCTATGCTTTCTCAAACTGGTCATTTGGTACCTCCATTTCTCAAGTATTAAGAAATCTAGCTGGGCACAGTGGCTCACACCTGTAATCCCAACACTTTCTGGCCCTGGGATTGATGCTGTGGCATCATAGTTCATAGCAAACTCAAACTCTTGGGTTTGAGTGATCTTCTTGCCTCAGCTTCCCTGGTAGCTGGAACTGCAGGTCCCTGCCTGGCTGTTTTTTTCTATTTTTAGTAGACACTGGAGTCTTTATTCAGCCTAGTCTGGAAGCCCTGAGCTCAGGCATGAGCCACACCGCACATGGCCAAGGAGTCATTTTTAATTAGCCTTATTCGTAATACAGAATTCAAAGTAAATACTTTGGGAAATGAATTACTGTATGTGGGTCATCTGTACTTTAGTTCTTAGGTTGGAATTGGATTACATTTGCCTATAAGCCAAATTTAGACAATAAGAATAGATAAGATGTAATCTTCAAAAATACAAGGCGAAGCCAGGTATCGTGGCATGTAGTGACTGTAGTCCCAGCTACTTGGAAGGCTGAGATAGGATGATGTTTTGAGCCCAGGAATTCAGTTCCAGCCTAGTGAGACTCAATTCTGTGTGTGTGTGTGTGTGTGTGTGTGTGTGTACGCGTGCACAAGGGAGGGTGAGATTGTTGAATACAATTTAAGGTATTATTTCCTTGTTTTCTACTTCATAGCTTTTCTTTTTTCTTCTTTCTCCTACGTAGGTTCAGTGGTCGCCTCACAATGAGACTATTTTGGCTTCTAGTGGTACTGATCGCAGACTGAATGTCTGGGACTTAAGGTAACTTTTATTAGTTATGCTTCCCATGGAATTTTTTCCTTTGATTAGACTTTAAAAAGTAGTTACTAAGGGTAAATCTGTTTTGAGTTTTAAAGTGGTCTTTCTGGGCAGCGCTTGTGGCTCAGCGGGAAGGCCCTGGCCCCATATACCAAGGGTGGCGGGTTCAAACCCAGCCCCAGCCAAACTGCAACAAAAAAATAGACAGGCATTGTGGCAGGCACCTGTAGTCCTAGCTACTTGGGCAGCTGAGGCAAGCAGCTAAGGTGCTGGCCACATACACCTAAGCTGGTGGGTTCAAATCCACCCTGGGCCCACCAAACAGCAATGATGGCTACAAGGCATCTGTAGTCCCAGCTACTTGGGAAGCAGAGGCAGGAGAATCGCTTGAGCCCAGAAGTTGGAGGTTGCTGTGAACTATGATGCCACAGCACTTTACCCAGGGCAACAGCTTGAAGCTCTGTCTCAAAAAATACTACTAATAAAATGGTCTTTCTTTCTTTGCTAGTAAAATTGGAGAGGAACAATCCCCAGAAGATGCAGAAGATGGGCCTCCTGAGTTGTTGGTATGTTATGAGCATTGAGCAGTACTGAAACAGTCTGTAGTTTAATGTCCTCTGTTTGCATTTTTATCTTTGTTTTCTTCCCTCTATCAGTTTATTCATGGTGGTCACACTGCCAAGATATCTGATTTCTCTTGGAATCCTAATGAACCTTGGGTGATTTGTTCTGTATCAGAAGACAATATCATGCAAGTGTGGCAGATGGTAAGTGTTTGCTCTTTTGTTTGGGAGAGGTTAGGTAAATGAGGGAATCATTTTATGTTTGTACGTTTCGTGAATATAACTGCCATCTCTGTTCACTTTGTTCTCAGGTGTAACTTAATGCTTCTCTGTACATTATCATTCTCAGTTATCTGCTCTTCAGCTTTGTCTGGTTGTCCCACTAGTATTTAAAACTCAGTTAAACAGGGTGACGCCTGTGCCTCAGTGAGTAGGGCGTCGGCCCCATATACCAGGGGTGGTAGGTTCAAACCCAGCCCCGGCCAAACTGCAACAAAAAATAGTCAGGCATTGTGGTGGGCACCTGTAGTCCTAGCTACTCAGGAGGCTGAGGCAAGAGAATCGCCTAAACCCAAGAGCTGGAGGTTGCTTGAAAAAGAGTCCCCATGTCTATTTACTTTTAGGTCTAGGTCACTGGTATTATCTTGTCTCTGTGATATTTCTCACATCTTTCATCTTATACATGCAAGCATACATAACGAAAGGCATATTGTATCACAGCATCACACAGCATCAGATACTACCGTATTAAGATACAGCTGCTACTCAGGAGGCTGAGGCAGAAGGATTGCTTGAGTATAGGAGTTTAGGCTTATAGTGAACTATGACAACACCACTGTACTCAAGTCCAGCTATGTGAGACCATGTCTGAAAAAAAGAGAAAAATGCTACCGTTTCTTAATGATGCCTATCTAGATTTCAAAAACATTCCTTACCTCTCCCTATACCTTAGTTTGAGTTGTGTTCAGAGCACTTACAAGATAGATACAAATAACTGAGCAGTAGATACAGATAAAAATAATATAGAATGTAATACAAATAACTGATCTCTAATACCTACTAATGTAAGAATAGTTGATTTCTGGAGACAGATGATGCTTATGGCTACACAACAAATGTATGTGTACTTAATACAAGGAATTTATAACTAAAATGGCTGAGATTGTAAGTTTTATGTGTATTTTACCATTTTCTTTAAATTGCATAACTTTTGAATGATGACAGTCTAATTAATGAAAAGAAATCCATAGAAACATGCCTTTTGACTCCATACAAGAAGGAATGTTTTTTGTTTTGTTTTTTTGTAGAGACAGAGTCTTTATCACCCTCAGTAGAGTGCTATGGCATCACAGCTCACAGCAACCTCCAACTCCTGAGCTTAGGAGATTCTCTTGGCTCAGCCTCCTCAGTAGCTGGGACCACAGGCGCCTACCACAACACCTAGCTATTTTTTTGTTGCAGTTTTGCTGGGACCGGGTTTGAACCCACCACCCTTGGTATATGGGGCTGGTGCCCTACACACCTGAGCCACAGGCCCCGTCCTATACTTTTTTTTTTTTTTCTTTGAGACAGAGCCTCAAGCTGTCACCCTGGGTAGAGTGCTATGGCAACACAGCTCACAACCTCAAACTCCTGGGTTTTAAGCAATTCTCTTGCCTCAGCCTCCCAAGTAGCTGGGACTATAGGCACCCGCAGCAATGCCCAGCTGTTTTTGTTGTTCTTGTTGTAGTTGTCCTTATTTAGCTGGCCCAGGCTGGGTACAGACCTGCCAACCTCTGTGCATGTGGCTGGCCCTGTAACCACGGTGCTATGGATGCCAGACCTTAATCTGTACTTTGTTAAAACAGACTATTAATTGAACATACAGAAATGAAGCTGGGCGTGATGGCTTATGCATACAATTCTGCCATTTTGTGATGATATGGGAGGATCACATGAAATGGTTGAAAGTGGTCTAAGCAAAAAAAGAAACAAAACACACAAAACATGTAGCCAGGCATGGTAGCTCACACCTGTAATCCTAACACTCTGAGAGGTCAAGGTGGGAGAATTACTTGATCTTAAGAGTTCAAGACCAATCTGAGCCAAAGTGAGACTGCTTCTCTGCAAAGTATAGAACAATTAGCAAGGCATGGTAAAATGTAGCTTATAGTCTCAGCTGCTCAAAAAATTAGCCTTGTGTGATAGCATGTGCCTATAGTCTCAGCTATTCAAGAGGTGGAGGCAGGAGATTCACTTAAGCTGGGGAATTTGAGGTTGGAGCGAGCTATGATGATACCATTGCACTATCACCTGGGAGAGAGAATATAACCCTGTCTCAAAAAACAGGGTGTGAGGGCTGCCTTGGATAGCCTGTCTGTCAAAAGATTAGCAGTTGCTGTGGGAATATTGTAGGAAATTAAGCTGGATCCCTTCTAAGGCCCACTGCTGCCCTTCCAAGTTGTTACTTTGTAATTGTTATGTATGATAAAAAGTAAATATTTGGTCTCTGTCCCTGTTCTTGGCACAGAACTTCTTAAAAAACCCTTGGAATTTCCAGAGTGATAAGAGTATCTTTTTGTCACTCAATAGTGATCATCTTTGGCACACAACTGAGTTTATTCTACTGTGATGACTTTGGTGGGGCTTTTAATTGGAAAGACCAAACAACGCGATTAGGGGTTAGAACAGGCATCCTCAAACTGCGGCCCACCTAGGACATTTATCTGGCCAGCCAGGTGTTTTTGCCGCCCCTGCCTGTCCTGCTTAGCAGCCAACTCATTCCTGGGTTAGAACTTTCCAGTCTCATTTACCAACCTTGCGGGCGGGGGTGGTTAAAGATTGAGCCCTATAGGCTCAGTGCCCATAGCTCAGTGGTTAGAGCATCAGCCACATAATACCAAGGCTAGTGGGTTTGAACCTGACCCAGGCCTGCTAAATATGATGACAACTGCAACAACAACAACAAAAAAAATAGCCAGGTGTTGTGGCAGGTGCCTGTAGTCCCAGCTACTTGGGAGACTGAGGCAAGAGAATCACTTAAACCCAAGAGTTTGAGGTTGCTGTGAACCATGATTCCATGGCACTTGGCCAAGGGGATAAAGTGAGGCTATGTCTCAAAAAAAGAGAGAATGTTTACTAAAATCTTTTTCTTGTTTTTGGGCAGGCAGAGAACATTTATAATGATGAAGACCCTGAAGGAAGCGTGGATCCAGAAGGACAAGGGTCCTAGATATGTCTGCATTTCTTGTGATTTTAAGCTCCCCTTCTTTTCTTCTCAACCCTGAGATTGATTTAACACTGGTTTTGAGACACACAGACTTTTTTGGCTATCTCTCTATAATAGAAACCACCAACAGTGCTATTAGCCCCAACAGTGGTTGTTTTCTAAATACTAACTGGGGAACTTGATTCAGCAAAGCCACAGACTTACATTTAAATTTTCTTCAGGAATTTTCTAGTAACATACCCAAGTCTATAGCCACAGAAAGGGGAATATTATGTGTGATTATTTTTCTTCTTACGCTATATCCCCAAGTTTTTCAGACTCATTAAGTAAAGGCTAGAGTAAGTAAGGAATAGAGCCAAATGATGTAGGTGTCTGAGCCATGAAGTATAAATATTGCTATTGCAAGATTTTGTTTTTATTCAGGAAATAGGGGAGATTCAAGTCATAGATTCCCACTCTAAATAATCTTCACACCTAACCTTCCAGGATGCACATTTGCCTGTGTAGACCAGTATTGGTTTCTTCAGTTAAGTCAAAACTACATGTTCCTCTTTCCTCATATATTTTTTGCTCGTTAGTGTATTTCTTGAGCTGTTTTCATATTGTTTCTTTCCTTTCTGTGAAATGGTTTTTTTTAAAACTTGGGACCACCAAGTTGTAAAGATGTATGTTTTCACCTGACAGTTAATGCCACAGGTATACTGTCAAGTTGAGAAGAGTGAATCAATAACTTGTATTTGTTTTAAAAATTAAATTAATCCTTGATAAAAGTTGCTTTTTTTTTAGAGTTAGTCCTTGACCACTAGTTTGATGCGATCTCCGTTTTGGGTGACCTGTTTCACCAGCAGGCCTGTTACTCTCCATGACTAACTGTGTAAGTGCTTAAAATGGAATAAATTGCTTTTCTACGTAACCCCGTGCTGCTGATGGGTTTTATTTAGTATATAACATCCATCAAACACCAACCAGTCTGGCTTCTAGAAGAGTTGTTCAGGTGACAGTTATTTTCCATGGTCTTTGACTATCAGAAGCAAAATTAAATATAATAGACCCAGAGGTATAGAAAAGAGCTTTTACTCCTTCCCAGGGAAAGTGAATACATAAAACCCTGAATCAGAGGTGTCATGGATTAGTCTCTGGTAAAATAACAGAGAACTACATGGATTTCTATAAGTGTGTCAAAGGCAGTATGGTAGAATTAAGGCAAAATTTAGATTTGGAAAAGGTACTTAAACCTTTTCTCAAAGAGAGGTTGAGTCTCCTCGGTATGTTTTTCATGGGGGCCTATACTTAGTGGTTAGAAATAAATAATAGGCTTCAAAAGCCTTTATCACCCAAGTGCCATAACCAGATAAAATGCCTGGTTCTTTGCAAACACTCTGTTTTTGGTTTTATTTCTTTTAACCAAGTAGATCAGTCTGACCCAAAATCACTTTGATGAGGTAAGATCTTTGGGAGAATCTGAATAGCCCTAACCATCTGGGTTGGTTCCTTATCTCTAAATCTAGTTTTAGAGAATAGTGAACATTATCTTGACAAAATTTTAAGAGTAAATGCTGAGTCAGCATAGCCTTTAAGAAAAAGTAGATTTTGTAAAGGGGTTCATTTAAAATCTAATACTCATGGCACAAAAGAATTGAAATTATAGGTCAGTGCCTATGGCTCAGTGAGTAGGGCGCCGGCCCCATATACCTAGGGTGGCAGGTTCAAACCTGGCACCAGCCCAACTGTAACCAAAAAATACCCAGGCACTGTGGCGGACACTTGCAGTCCCAGCTACTTGGGAGGCTGAGGCAAGAGAATCACCTAAGCCCAGGAGTTAGAGGGTGCTGTGAGCTATGTGACACCATGGCACTCTACCAAGGGCAATAAAAGTGAAACTCTGTCTCTACCAAAAAAAAATTATAAATCCATGTAAATGAAAATTGGCTGCCTTTTTGACCCCACCTGGCCTTCCCAGATGTTTTTAGTTTGGGTTGTTACAAGGCAAGATACATTCTTCGTAATACTGCAAGATGTGTCCATACATTCATCCTTTACTCAACATGTGTGTGACAGTTGCTAGAAGACAGGCAGCTCATTTTTCCTCCTTGGTGCATTGAGATCGGTCTCAGAAGCATATGAAATAGAATCCAGCTAGTATTGACTGGTGCTCTGCTTGCATCCAACTCTAGAATCTGTTTGGTGCTCTGCTTGCATCCAACTCTAGAATCTGTTTAAGCAAGTCAGCCAGTATCTGCAACTTTGAGGGTGAATTGCTCACCAAGTCTCTGGCACTTCTTTGGAAGAAAGTATGTCCAAGGGGCACTTAGTGATCTTTTGCTGAGAAGTTTTTTGTTGTTTCTGGGTTACAGATTTGGCCATATATTTCTAAACATCCCCTGTAAGGTTGAGACAAAAAAAAGAGTAAGTTTGTACTTTCTGAAATACACAGTAGAAAGTTTGATTCAGTGAACTTTTGAGGTTTAGTTAGTGCAGGCTAAGTTGAGGAGTGATTGCTACAGTGTGATTTATATATGACTTTCCCCAGCATATATTTGGGTGCCTCCTATTTGCAAAACAGAATAGAATAAATAGTAACCTATGTGATAATGTTAGGAGAGAGAAGTTAAAATTTTTCTTCTTGGCTGTGTTCCCGTAGCACAATGGTTATGGTGCCAGCCACATACACTGAGGTTGGCAGGTTCGAATCCAGCCTAAAACAAGGACAGCCACAACAAAAAACAGTGAGGCATTGTGGTGAGTGCCTTTAGTCCCAGCAACTCCAGAGGCTAAAGCAAGAGAATGATTTAAGCCCAAGAGTTTGAGGTTGCTATGAGCTGTGATAACATAGCACTCTACCCAGGGCAACATAGACTCTTGTCTCAAGAGGGGGGCGGTGCCTGTGGCTCAAAGGAGTTAGGGTGCAGACCCCATATACTGGAAGTGGCAGGTTCAAACCCAGCCCCTGCCCAAAAAAAAAAAAAAAATTTTTTTTCTTTGTTTTTTCTCATTGTACTTTAAAAAAAATTTTTTTTTAGATTTTATTGCATGAGTATTTAATTTCTTATTTCATTTTTGTTCAGCAGGCCCATGCTGGGTTCGAACCCACCACCTCTGGGCTGGTGCTCTGACCACAGCTACAGACGCCTCCTCTCCTTTGTACTTTATATCTGATCCACACAAAGGATTTAGTAGATACTGTCTCCAATTACAATTGGAGTTATTACAGTTAGAGTAACTGGCAAACATTTAACTTAGTATTTGGGCTAGGAATGGTGGCTCACATGTATTATCCTAGGACTCATGGAGACCGAGGCAGGAGCAGCCCTTGAGCTGAGGAGTTTGAGACCACCTTAAGCAAGAGTGAGATCCCTTCTCTGCTAAAAATTAAAAAAATTAGGCTTTGGTGCCTATAGCTTAGGAGTTAGGATGCAGGCCACATACACAGTGGCTGGCAGGTTCAAATCCAGCCTGGGCCTGCTAAACAACAATGACAACTACAACAAAAAAATAGCTGGGCGTTGTGGCAAGTGCCTATAGTCTCAGCTACTTAGGAGGCTGAGGCAAGCAAATCACTAAAGCCTAAGAATTTGAGATTGCTGTGAGTTTTGACGCCATGGCATTCTCAAATAAATAAATAAATAGCTGGGTGGTATGGCAGGGTCTGTAGTCCCAACTACACAGGAGTTTAAGGTTGCTGTGAGCTAGGCTGATGCCACGGCAATATATCCTGGGGCAAAAGAATAAAACTGTTTAAAAAAAAAAAATCAGGTGGCACCTGTGGCTCAGTGGGTAGGGTGCTGGTGCCCTATACCAAGGGTGGCGGGTTCAAACCCAGCCCCAGCTAAACTGCAACAAAAAAATAGCCAGGCATTGTGGTGAGCGCCTGTAGTTTCAGCTTCTCAGGAAGCTGAGACAAGAGAATCTCCTAAGCCCAGGAGTTCGAGGTTGCTGTGAGCTCTGTGATGTCACGGCATCTACTGAGGGCGATAAAGTGAGACTCTTGGGAGGCTGAAGCAAGAGGTTTGCTCAAGCCCAAGAATTTAAGGTTGCTATAAGCTATGATACTATGGCACTCTACCCAGGGCACAGAGTGAGGCTGTCTGGGAAAAAAAAAAATTAGGGGAAAGATCCTGAAAAATTCATTGGTCAGAAAGATGTCTTCAGCTTTACCAGGCCCTAAAAGTAAGTCTGGGCTCGGCGCCTGTGGCTCAAGCGGCTAAGGCGCCAGCCACATACACCTAAGGAGGCAGGTTCGAATCCCCAGCCCGGGCCCGCCAAACAACAATGATGGCTGCAACCAAAAAATGGCCAGGCGTTGTGGCAGGCGCCTGTAGTCCCAGCTACTTGGGAGGCTGAGGCAGGAGACTCGCTTGAGCCCAGGAGTTGGAGGTTGCTGTGAGCGTGATGCCATGGCACTCTACCCCGGAGGATAGCTTGAGGCTCTGTCTCAAAAAAAAAAAAAAAAAAAAAAAGTAAGTCTGTGCAAAATAAGAACAGCTTCCTCATTTCTACTCAGACCCATAACCTTTGAATATTTTATAAGGAAATTAATGGGTAGATGAGTTATATATATATGTATGTGTATATATATATTTTTGTGTGTGTGTTTGGCAGTCTCACTATGTCACCCTGGGTAGAGTGCTGGGACATCACAGCTCACAGCAACCTCAAACTCCTGGGCTTAAGTGATTCTCTTGCCTGAGCTTCCCAAGATAGATAGCTGGGACTACAGGCACCCACCACAACACCCAGCCATTTTTGCTGTTGCAGTTGTCATTGTTTTAGCAGGCCCGGGCCAATGTATATGGCCAGCACCCCACCCTGAGCTACGGGCACCACCTGATTGTTTCCAGTATTAAGCAGTAATTCTGTCCCTATAATAGGACTAGTGACTTAGGCCTCTCATTGGCCTTCTTTGTCTAGTGTGAATTTCATAGCACATTTGCCTTCTCTGCTATCCTAAGGAAATTTTATGAATAGCATGTGGGGTAAGGTTGGGTGAGAAAACAGATTGCCCAGATCCTAGATGCTTTATCCTGTTACAGAATTCCTAATGATAATTAGGGCATATTTTGAATCCTACTAGTGATTGAAACATTCCAATGAACTCTGAGGCTTGACCCAGGTATTGAGGGGTATGAACTTGTCATTAGACACACACTTAATTTTTTTTTAAAGAAGGCATTAGTATTAAGTTAGGAAAGCAATAGCAATGTAACCACCACACTTCTGCCCACAAAGATTCACCTTGAGACTGTGTCTCGATTCCACCTGCCTGAGGAGTGGAAGCATCAGCCTGTTGCAGGCTCTTGGGTAGCATAGCCCTTTAAAGAAAGACAGCCATTTTCCATCTGTTCATGAATGAGCACAATTTGAAGAAAATTTCCCAAACCGTTTTTTTTTTTTTTTTTTTTTTTGGTTGTTCTTAACTGTTTATGTGAAATTTTTTCTGAGCCCTCCCCACCATCCCCTTAGCCAGTATTAGATGAGATTTGGGTTTGGGCAAAGACTGACTTATAAGTTGAGAGCTCTTCAGCAAGACTGATCCTGAGTTGCTCCATCTCTTTATTCTTCTGTTGCTGGAGTTGCACCCCACTTCTTAACTGCCTCTGTCTTTCTTCCATTTCCTCCAGCTGTTCCTGCATGAAATGGGCAAGAACACTTGTAACTAGCCAAACAAAAAAATCTGACATTGTCCATGATAGTATCTAAAGAACATTGTTTAATCTTCATAACAGTATTGAAGCTCGTTTTTATATTACAGGTTAAGGAACTGATAGAAAAAGATTATATCTTCCAGGAAGAAAAAGTGACAGTACTTCTGAAAATACCGTGTTTCCCCAAAAATAAGACCTAGGGATGGGCATGGCGCAGTAAGGAAGACTGGAATACCTTTTATCTGCCACAGCTCCTTTCTCTGAGCTGTTGGCACTTGCGCAGACACACGTGTGGTAACCAGGGTCACAGGCATCCTATTGCCCATGTGTGAATGGCTAGGGGGCTAGGGGAAAGGAGTTCACTCATCACTAGTGCCAGCCCCACCAACAAGGTCGGCTCCCCCTGTCAGGTTTCAGAAGAAGATAACATACCTGTATTTGAATAAATGTAGATTGTTGCATTTTACTTAATAAAAATAAGACATCCTAACTTGGCACCTGTGACTCAAGTGGCTAAGGCGCCAGCCACATACACCTAAGGTGGCAGGTTCGAATCCAGCTGGGCCCGCCAAACAACAATGACAACTGCAACCAAAAAATAGCTGAGTGTTGTGGTGGGCACCTGTGGTCCCAGCTACTTGGGAGGCTGAGGCAGGAGACTCGCTTGAGCCCAGGAGTTGGAGGTTGCAGTCAGCTGTGATGGCACAGCACTCTACCCAGGAGGATAGCTTGAGGCTCTGTCTCAAAAAAATAAATAAAAATAAGACATCCCCTGAAAATAAGCCCTAGTGTGTCTTCTTAAGGAAAAATAAATATAAGACAGTTTTATTTTCGGGGAAACACAGTAGTGATCTGAAAGGAGTCTTGTCTGTTGACCATAGCATGCTTAACCATTTGACTGCTGAGTGCTCAAGATAAAACAGTGATGAAACGGTGCCTACACATGTTAGAATGCCTGTTCTGTTCACAGTCAAGAGGTTAATAGAATCCTGGGAGGGTGAACCACTTACTCGGTGCTGTTAGGATCACTGAAGGTGGTGACCCTGCGAATTTCGTATACTTCTTCTGAAATAAGCATGTTTTTCCACCAAGATAATTAGTTTTTGTTTGTTTTTTAGACAGAGTCTCAGTTTTATCACCCTCAGTGGAGTTCTGTAGCATCACAGCTCACAGCAACCGCCAGCTCTTGGGCTTAGGGTGATTCTCTTGCCTCAGCCTCCCAAGTAGCTGGGACTACAGGTGCCCGCCACAACACCCAGCCATTTTGTTGTTGTTGCAGTTTGGCAGGTCCAGGCCTAGAATCGAACCTGCCAGCTCAAGTGTATGTGGCTGGCACCTTAGCTGTTTGAGCCACAGGCGCCAAGCCTAAAAAAAAAGAATTTTGTTTTTTTTTTGAGACAAGAGTTTCACTTTGTCGCGCTCACTAGAGTACTGTTGCATCATAGCTCATAACAACCTCAAACTCTTAGGCCCAAGTGACACTCTTGTGTCAGCCTCCTGCCACAACACTGCTATTGTTTTTTAGAGATGGGGGTCTTTCTTGCTTTGGCTCAAGCTGGTCTGGAACCTGTGAGCTCAGGCAATCCAGCCTCCCAGAGTGCTGGGATTACAGGTGTGAGCCACTGCACCCAGCCCTGCATGCATTTTTCTTTTTAAGGCCGGGGCTGGGTTTGAACCCGCCACTTCTGGCATATGGGGCCGGCGCCCTACTCCTTTGAGCCACAGGCACTGCCCAACCTGCATGCATTTTTCTTTACACAAAAAGACTGGATTTGTTCAAAAAGCGTTTTTTTTGTTTGTTTTTGAGACAGAGTCTCTCTGTCACCCTCAGTAGAGTGCTGTGCCATCACTGCTCATAGCAACCTCAAATTCTTGGGCTTAAGTGATTCTCTTGCCTCAGCATCCCAAGTAGCTGGGACTACAGGCGCCCACCACAGTGCCCAGCTATTTTTTGTTGCAGTTGTCATTGTTTAGCAGGCCCAGGCTAGGCTCAAATCTGCCAGACTCAGTTTATGTGGCTGCTGCCCTACCCACCACCCTGTTCAAAAGTTTTGCTCAAAAGTTATAAATTAGAAGATGAAGACACTATGCCAAAAAGCCCTTGGGAGCCTCAAGATAACTGTTTCTCAGTGAAATAATTGTTCTCTTGAGCAATCCTTGATACTCCTGTGGCACATCAGTCTGAATGTTTGATACTCTGGCTGAATCTCAACTTTCATCAATATTGTCCACAAGGCCTTTTTTTAGGTAAAGCACAGATGTAGCCTTACCACCTAAGGATGTGTCATCTACATACTGTTGTCCCAATTTCCCAAACTTCACTGTTTAGCAAACCTGTTTTGGTGAGACACAACAGTACATGTTGTAGAAAATAATCTGCACCGGCTCAGCGCCTATAGCTCAACTGGCTAAGGCGCCAGCCACGTACACCTAAGGTGGCGGGTTCGAATCCCCAGCCCGGACCCGCCAAACAACAATGACGGCT